TCGTTAAAGCCAAAGGAGCAGCGGAATTTATCAACTGGAAAACAAATTAGGTTTGTTGTTTGGAAGAAAAGCGAGCCAGTAAAATGAGCCTCCTGAATTCTAACCAAGCTTCATCCCGTAACAAAAAGTCATCAGGCAACGCCCCTCATAGTCAGCTCCCATGTGACAAATTGCAACAGAGAATATCAAAACACATGCAAACTAGAAACGGATGTTAATTATGGCTTCGGCCGCTGTGCACGCTGTTGTGGGGAAGTGGCTCGCTTCATACCCTCTACTATTATAACATCCTGCTGGCACCGAGGCCGTTGGCATCGGCCGACCCCCCCGTCGGGCTGCTTTCACCAGAACCAGCGACGACTTCGTATCAACAGCGGGCCAGATTTGATTTGGCAACTGGCTGAGTGCTCAATTATGAATCAGGAAGAAGCCTTACGTTTGAAAGGAGACCGACAGCCTCCTTCAGCAGTCTGATTCCAGTTAGCGTGAACTTATCATTGGTATTAAAGGCAGCCCACCGTGGAGGACGTGATCCTGAACGCACAGAGCCAGAGGGATGCCTTTGTGTGACACTGTGAGACTTTGTTCTTGACACACTTGAATATGTTTTCACTGTGGATCATTTATTTTTGTTGATTTCAGTGATAAACACTCAGATTGTTGGAAGTCCCAAACTCCAGAAGCACACCACATGGTTATGTGAATTCCAACCCTTAAAAAAGGTTAGGGAAACAGTGCACACACTGGCGTGGTTTTGAAGCAGCCTTGCAATACGAGGAAGTGGTGGCGGTCTTGTCTGACCACAGATACATGAGATCCGGCTTTGCCTTCCTAACGGATGGTATGGAGACACAAGGGATTTTGCTGGCCTTGACTTCCAAGTCTGTTTACTTGATAGTTCTGTGGCGAGCGCTCTCATTCACGGAGCGTGTCTCCACTGATGGCCGATCAATCAACTCTCGCAGGGAAAAAAAAACAAAAAACAGCCCGAGTTTGTGGGCACATGCTGGTTGCACTGCGCTCCAAAATATGAAGTCATGTGACTGCAATAGAAATAGGCTGGATTCATCAGCCTCACAAATGAGTTTTTTAAAGTCTATTTGTAAGAAAATTAAAGCACTTTGTTCGATTGTGTTGTTTGGCAACGTGTCAATCACAGCAAATATATTTTCAAATCACTCGTGTTTTTATTGAAATAATGTGTTTTGGTATTACACACCTAACTCTCTGAGCAACTGCTGTGGAGCAGACCTAGAATATATTAATACAGTATTAGAGAAGTTTCACTTCCACTGCACTATTAGACCATGTCTGAGTCTAATGGTCGGAGTTTTGACTCACGTCCTGGCCGGCCTCTTACTAGTGCAGGTGTTGTTGGGTTTCCTTTTGCTGAGGGAGTTTCTGGTTTCAGGAAATCAGGCCTGTTGGTTAATGTTAGAGCTGGGAGAAAAACGTTCCTGGAAGGAAGGTGCTTGAGTCCAACCAGGGGGTGTATTTGTAGACTCAAACAAAATGTGATATCACATTCCACACGGACATCGTCTTCTCGTCTCTGGCCGTCAGCAGTGGAACATTTTGTTTTCTGCTTTAGTCAAAGATGGACATTACTTTTATGGTTTTACATTTTGCCTTTATCTTTTGTCGACATACATAGCTTGTATTTAGATCCTTCTCTGTTCCAGTCGAACCATAGCTGTGCTCTGCGTGGCCGTTATTATGGTACTTTCCCAGATGCTGAGCTGCATGATGATATCATGTGCTGTTGCACATCGTTATGTTTTCCTTGGTCTTTAAGGCGCACTTTGGTTTTCTGGCTTTTGTTTCACTTTTTTTTTTTTTTTTTTCATTTCTCTACGACAGAGTTAACAGCCAGGCAGCCAAACCAAACTTGGCTGTGGGTTTGTACAGTAGTATCAGTCTCAAATCAAGTCCAGGTGAAGTCCCACATTACAGCCACCTGAACTCTGCTGAGGTGCTTGCCTCTCTTCTACATGAGTGGTGGATTATTTGCTTACTTGTATGTTATTACTTGAAGTGACAACTCCTGTGTGGGGTCTGTTGTGTAACTAACACATACAAAACAACCACACAAGATGCCACAACAAGACAACAGCTTGGTGCTTCTGCCTCTTGGTCATACTTTTGTACGGTGCGTTGTTTTTGCTTATTTGCATCTTACCTGGGGTGTTTGTACCGACTTGCTCTGATTGTTGTGAGTCAGATGTTTGCGAGTTGTGAGTCAGCGTAGGAACCCATCCTGGCAGGTTTGTTATTACTTATTATCAAGTAAAACATATTCGCTGAACAGAATTGTGTGCCGACAGGATTCAGTAGAGGGCAGCAGCGAGTTGAAGAAGGTGTCTTACAATTCATTAACCGCAAAGATTCACTGCATCGTGACCTTTGCGCTTCAGGTGAGGACAGTGGTGTTGTACTTTATTTCCATTGTGTGTGTGTGTTTTTGTGTTGCGGGGGAGGGTTGCAGCACATATTAATACTTGCTAATGTCTGGAGGCTTGCTACCCAAACACGAGATGAATGCTCATTTTTTTTTCATGCATTTCATTGGATTAGTGGTCATATAGTTGGACTCATTAATTAAAATTAAATGGCTGCCATGCAGGTAGTCTCTACACAAGCACATTAATAGAAACCACCAACAGAAATGTGCGTGCAGGTCTTGTTTATTTTCGTTGGGAAACCACTTCTAAAAATGTATCGCTCTTCTCGGCACAAGGTGGATGACAACACAACAGCTCAGAACTGCAGCTTTGGCAAGTTTGAGGGCTCCTTTTTGTGACGACTGGATTATGTATTCATTAAAAGCCCATCTATATGGCTCCCCAAACAGGTTGTCAGGCCATGAGCCAGCTCACACCGCATCAGTACTTTTACAAGCAGGCCCCCCAGAAACCTTCAGCGAGACTGTTTTTAGTGGCTCTTACTGCAAATGGAAACACTTAGCTCCCACAATAAATTACCCACCCGACTGATGCCACACTGCACGGACCCCCAGCTAGTGGCTGACAGACTACCGATTTATATTTTAACTTTACATTCTCTTGGAATTTCGCTGTGTTATAGTGACTCTGGGTCACATGAACTGATGAACTGAAAAAGGATTAATCACGCCAAGGTTGTTGCACCAGCGTGCAGCCGGCGGTTTGATTAAAGCTGAGGATGTGTCCCCCCGTCACCTCGCCGGCGCTGACACTGGGGTCAATCCGGGATAAAAATAGACTTCCTTGGTTACTCATTTTCTCTGTAAAGTAAATAGCCATTAGTGTAGCAGGCCAGTGATCTCAAGGGCAACACTAGTGTTCAGTCTAAGCTATTGTTTATACTGTAGTTGGATGATTAAAAGAGACAACTGGGTATAGCTGCTATTAAATGGAGCATCCATCGCAAAAACAGTAATGATGGAACACAGTCCAGTGGGGTCGGGTTCAGACGCTGTGGAAACATTCTTGAAAGCACTTGACTTAAACTTCTGTACCAAACGTCGAGGTGCATTAGGAAATAAGAACCTCATCTCGGACCCGTGCTAAGAGCGCCCGCGAAATAATCCTAATTATCATTCCAGCAAACTTATGTGTTTAACCACCTAGTGATGTAATTGCAGCTGACCAAATAGATTGTTGTTGAAATATTGCCCCGCTGTTATAGGTACGTTGTGACAGCGTTGTGTGTTCACTGAGGGCCGGCGCAACCATAACAAACACAGCTGAATCTGGGGTTTACATTTCAGCAGGATGACGGCGCACGCAGCGTCTGGGTGGAACTTGGGAAAAGGAGCCTGGGCCTGCAGCCTGGCCTGGCTCTCTGCCAGCATGGTAAGAACAGCCTCGTCAGTGGGACCTGTGAAGTTATTGTCCAGATGCGCCCGTTTATTGAATGCAAATGGCTTTGCATCAAGACACAGCAAACTGGGTGAAGCCATGCCAGGACAATGGACTGGGTCTGTAATGAGGGTGTGGACATTTTCTTCTGAGAACTTCCAAGAGGA